CTGGTCTCTTACCCAATCCCGTGAGGGAAATAAGGACCACTAATATTCCAAGGAATATTGGGGAACCCTGATGGTGTCATGGGTCAAGTGCCGAGCTGCTCACCGAATGAGCAGCAGTTTGAACCCATCAGTTTTCTCCAAGGCTGTCTGTTTCTGTAAAGACTCAGTCTCAGAAACCCTATGGGGCAGTTCTACTCGATCCCATAGGGTCGCTGAGTTGGAATGGATTGTTAAGACTCATAGTGACCCTGTGTTGGGTTTCCAAGGAGCGGCTGATAAGTTTGAACCACCAATCCTGTGGTTCAGACCGACCTTGCAGTCCAGTGCCGTATCCTACAATGCCACACCAGGACTCGATGGCAGTAGGGTGTTTTGGGGGGAGAGGTTAGTATTCCCATTCTCTCTCCTGACAACAATTTCCCTATTGAGTCAAGTGAATGTGAGGTGGGGATTATGAGCAACGAGACTTGTGATGAACTTGAACTCCGCAAAACAAGACCCTCTCTTTGTGAACAGCTCCGTCTTGTTCGCTGGGTACCCCACTCCAGAAGCAGAGGGAAAAAGAACCCTGTGTGTTTTGGCGCGCGCCCTAGAAGAGCAAGTTTGGATTCATCCCGGGTTTGGGGCGCCTCATGCTGATCCTGTGTCTCATCAAAGATGCCTTTCATTCCCCTCTTTGTTTTCCTCCCTGTGAGTGTATCTGCCGTTGAATCACGTCCTTGCCATGTAACCATCCATGATCTCATCATGATGAGATCAGCCGGGAGTAACTGGCTCCTGCTGGAAACCGCACCCCAGAGCAGCAGCGGGAGATGAGAATTCTGTAGGATGAGGGTGTCCCCAATGTAGACCAACTAGAACCGCTGGTTTCCTGGAGACATGGGAGCATCTCAGGCATGCTAGCCATCTCACTGAGGTGGGTCTCATCTCAAGAGGAGGCTAGGTGAATGACGAAACAAAATAAAAAAACAGGGGCCTGATACACTTTCATTGGGTGATGGCAAACGCTGACGGGGGCCCTGGTGGCGCAGTGGTTTAAGATTCTGCCTAGTAGCTGTAAGGTTGCTGGTTAGAATCCACCAGCCGCTCCTCAGAAGAAAGCTGTAACAGTCTACTTCTGTAAAGTTTTCCCTGAAAAAACACCAACCCCACAGCTGTGGAGTTGATTCGAACTCGCAGTGACCCCATTGGACAGAGCATCTTTACAGAGGCTGATGGCCTAAGCTTCCTCCTTCAGAGTCCCTGGGGCTTCAAACCACCAGCCTTCTGGTTAGCAGCGGAGTACTTAACCACTGTGCCCCCCGGGACTTCATCTGTAAAGATGCTACGGGTGGTTCTGTTCCGCTATGAGTCAGATTCAACTCGATGGCATCGGATTCGGAATGAAATCACCTGGCCCCAGTCACTGTTGTGAAGTGGTGTCAAGTCAGTGCCGACAAGATGTAGGAAGCAGCTGGTGGGTTTGAACTGCTGATCTTGTGGTTCGCAGTGCTGATCTTACAGCGCCCACCCGGAGTCTGACCACAGGCACTAGAAGATACTGACCGTCCCAGCCACTCGGGGGATTGAAACCTGGCTGGAAGCCTCACAGTGATGCAGTTCTTTGCCACATTGTGGTCATCAAAGTCTGAAAGGTCTTGGGATAGCATACAGTTCAGATGAATCAATCTCAGCTCCATGACTTCAGCGCTAATTGTCCAAACTACAAACAACCTAAGAGGCTGTAGCAAGCGTGGTACAGAAATGCTAGCTACTGCTGTCATACCACAGACAGGTTACTTAAACTCCACACGCCTCTGTCTGGCCACCTTTAAAATGGGTTTAATAGAGCACACACAGGATTTTATTTGCAGATTGAATACACTGAAATACACACAAAGGTCTCAGAATAGCTGTGATGTACAGTGAAGGTTCAGTCAGCTCCCTCTACGATTGTCTTGAAGACTCTCAGCCCAGTGAAATCCTTTGCATCTGTCTTCTCACCTGTCTGGCTCTAAGGAGTCCTGGTGTGGCACTGTGGGATAAGCACTGGACTGAAAGATAGATTTCAGCCACAAGGTCAGAGGTTCAAACTCAATAGCCGCTCCTTGGAAAACATATACGGGGTCACTATGAGTCGGAACCAACTTGACAGCTCTTAACAACAGGAGTTTGGCTGTGAAACTGTAGGATCAGCACTGGGCTGCTAGCCATAAGGTCAGGAGTTCTAACCCACCAGATGCTCTTCAGAATCCCTATATAGGGTCACTATAAGTCAGAACCAAAGTGACGGCACTTAACAACAACAACAACATAGGGTCCCTGTGGGTTTTACATGTTACGCATCATCAATCACAGAGTATCACCAAACATTGATTAAGCTCCTATATCCAGAATGATTAGGAGCCTGGTGGACAGCACCAAGGGCTTGACAGCTAAACGAAAGATCGGCGGTTCAAACCCAGCCAGAGACAGCACAGGAGGAAGGAATGGCCATCTGCTCCCGTAACGATGATATAACCCGGGAAACCCCGTGGGGCAGCTCTGCTCTGCCACAACCACAACCACAACACCCATAATGGCAAAGACACTGTTGTCAGTCATTTCTCAGTGCCACGTCGAGTAGGTTTGTCCTGTCAGTTAGATCTCCTTTCAAATCCAGTCACAGGGAAATGATGATTTCTACTCCTATTCAATGCAGAGCCACACATGGGGTTTAGGGTATGACATAATGTCCTTCCTGAAGCCAGGCCACTAGGTAGGAACAGCACCCTTCACACACAACCAGTTCCGGAACCTCAGCAGACAAATCCGACTTTCCAAGGAAATAGTCTCACCCGACCTTCTTCCTTCTGGTACTGTAACAAGCCCAGTGCTGTGATTACAAACTCAACTTCCCCCTCACACTCCGCAACACCATTTTCTCACTGAGCCCTGGTCAAGGTACCATTGCCCTAATAACTAAGGAATGGCATTTATTCATTTAGTCTGGGAGGGGTGGGGTGCTTAACGGATTGTCTATATGTGGATGTGTGGATGTATCTTTCAAATGGCCACCACTTAGCAATCAGGGGCTTCTTAAGCATGTTCAACTTTCCCCATGGCATGGACCTAACTTAAGAGAAGGAGCATGGTGCAATCTTTTGTTCTTTCTTTCTTTTAAGAATCCTAAATTTTAGTGACTTCCAGGCTATTGATATATATGTGTGTGTGTATGTAGGTATACATATATACACACACATAAAAATATACATATATATATATATACACACACACACACACACAACTTGTACACACACACACATATATATATAAAACCAAAACCAAATTCACTATCATCAAATCAATTCTGGCTCATAGTGACCCTGCCCAGAGTTTCTAAGGCTGTAAATCTTTATGTGAGCAAAAAGCCTTATCTTTCTCTCTTGGAATGACTGGTGGGTTTGAACTGCCAACTTTTCAGTTAGCAGTGTGTGTATATATATATATATATA